AAACACGGCGGGAGAGCTGCTGGGGAGCTGTGTCAGAAGGAGTCTAGATAGACCCTAAACCTCCATGTACATCAAACCCTCTCAGCAGCTGTAAGACTGACCAAACCAGAGATAAAACAAGCAAAGCGGGAGATACATGTGTGCAGCCCAAAAAGGACTCCAAGAGCTCAGGCTTAGAGAGAAGAGCTCCCCGGTATCAGCACATGCTCTCTGGCAGGAAAACAGGCTCATTTCAGACAGGATTCAACCACTGAATGTGTTTCAGTTTCATTTCAGCTCACATTCCCAGTTAGAAGAGCTGATTTTCCTGTGCGGCCAAGGCACCAGGCACCATACCGGTGTACACAGCGGCACAGGGCATTACTGCTGCTGGAGCCTTTCAGGTCAATCACAATGTCTAAAGCTCTGGCTGTAAAGCTGAAGCACCTCGCACCAGGGCAGTTTTCTTCCTCGCAAAAATTCATCATCTCCGATGGAAAGTATGCCCAATCTCCTTGGATTTGGTTCTGGGCCACGAGGTATAGATGCAGTTGTACTTGTTGCAAAGGCAGAGAGCAAGACAGCAAACAAACAACACACGCTCAAAAGTAGGCCTGAACAGGCATTTACTATTTATAAGCTAATCATCTGATCCCTCCTAAGGGAAATCCTATCCTTTTGGGCTGTTGAGAGCATGCATAACTGCACAGTCTCCACAGGACTGCTAGGGAGGAACAGAAGGGAAGCAATTATATCAGCGAAGAGTGTACTCAGTGCCTGGACAAAATTCCTCCCTGCTCCGTAACAACGCAGGCATCCTCCTGGAGAGCAAACCAGGGATTACGAGCAGAGATTAATCTGTTACGCTAATTTGCTAAGAGCAAAGTAATTTTTTAAATAGCTCTCTTCTCCATTCATCGTTATCTAAAAAGGCCTCTGATCTAGCTCTGCAAATGTTGATGTTTTCCTGTAAGCAGCGATAGAGGAGTCTCACGATAAGAGCCTGCGTGGAAATCCAGGAACGCCAACACACAGAAAACTGTGGCTACATTGGAAGGTGGGCACGCAAGGATGGAAGACAAAGGTATGAACTTTCATAATTGCTTCCGAGCTGTTAATTCCTGGGGGAACAAACATTCCTGTCCTGGGAAGTTAAGCATGATGTGCAAGTATACAGCACTGATTTTTTTTCTCCTGTTCACCTTTCTCCCTGATAAAAATAATCTGGGTTAGATTACACTGCTTGATTTTCTTGTAAAACATTACTCAGTCATTTCCAACACAACTACACATGCTCTTTCAATGCAACCACAAACACACCTGAGAAACAATCTCATTTTCTCTCTAGCCTTTTATTCTTTTTTTTCACTTACCAACTTACCACCGAGAACAACTCTCTCCCTCAGATGACAGCAACCTCTAAAGATGAGCTGACAATACAGAACAGGAGCGGAAATAGCTGTGTCTCAAAAAGCACAGATTAAAGCAGTGACTCTTGGAGGAGGCGGCCCAGCTCCTGGAGCAATCCTCACAAACGGAGTGGACAAGAGCCACCCAGGTCTGGTACCTGCCTTCAGGTGAGCAAAGCTCAGCAAGACACAGGCCACCAGGAGGGGGAATTGCTGCACACATCATCCCCTTCGCTCCCACCAGAGCTGGTGGCAACTTTGAAAAGCCCCACATGAACAAACAACAAAAGCAAGCCAGTGCATATTTTGGCAGATCAAGATAACAAAAAAAAGTGGCACATCGGCATTCTCCAAAGCCTCTGTACCGTGGTAAGATCTAGCCCTAAAGCTTCCCTGATTTTGCGTGTTGGTTTTTTTGTTTGTTTGTTTTAGCTGTCAGATTTGTCTGTCGCAAGCTAAGTGACACTGTTGGCAAGACAGAAGGGCTGGAAGGATGGTACCACAACTTGTCCTCTGCAAGTACACACAGACTGACCAAATCTTCTTGCTGAATGAAGCAGATGGAGTTCTTGTCACCACACGGTGGCTTTTTTCACCTTTAATCCCACCCTCACAATTGCCTATGAACTCTGCCCAGCTTTCCACCAGCCTCTGCACCACACACAGGCAGCAAACCTGGGCACAACAGCATTTGCACCGGTGAGAGCTGAGCTAACACACCCTCTCCTCTGCAGCAGCAGCAGCACTGAGGTATCCAAGACCAGCTCCACCTGCCTGGCTCCAGCCCTGCTCCATGTTCAAATGGTCATGAACTCACACAAAACCAGTGCTCCCTAGGACAGGCCTCTCTCCTTCCTCCCTTGCTTCTCTGTTGGTGTAACAGGTTTGCTTTCTCTGGTAATAGATGCATGGCCTTGCCAAAAGTACAGTGCCAAACTAACCAGAGCACTGTATCAGATCCTAGTCTCTTATTTTCTGCTCAACACTTCAAGTTGCTTGTATGCTCCATCAGCTTTTAGCTGCAAACTTTCTCCAGGTCATCGACAAAATTGGCAGTAGGATTCTTATGAAACCATCAACATAACATCCCCAATAACATTCTGGGAGCCAGCAATTTAACATGGGTTATTTTGAGCTCACTCCCCTTCAGTTAATTTAGCAGGAAAACCCAAAGGCATCACATCAAATGCTTTAGGGAAACCTATGTTTACAACACATAGCTGTTTGAGGGGGTTTTTAAGTAGATGTCAAACCTGCAACAACACTGTCTCCACACCAAACCACCAAACTTCAACCACCAGCAGTTTCAAACCAGCACAGAAAGCTTTGCCGGCTTCTATCCAAGAAGAAGGGGAAGCACCTTCTCCAAAAACCAGCCACCTGTGACCTCAGGTGGCGGGCACCAGGCAAACCCCAGAGGGAGGGGGGTGGCAGGCGAGAGGAGGCTCT